CACAGTTGATGGCACATACACCTGAAATTTCACCTTTTTAGCTTTTCTGATGCTCGAGTTGAAAGTTGGTGATAAAAAGTGGGAACACATGCATACAGGCAGCCTCTTGCCAGCATGTGTTCTTGCATTTGCATATACACAAAAACGCATAAAAATGCACAATGTGTTCAGGGAACCATGTTATGCGAGAAGTGTTGTTTTTATGCGAGGTTATAAATACGCATGCGGAAGGGGAACCACCCAATCGGTTCATCAAGTTCGGGCCACTTTTCTACATCTACGCGCACTACTCCGAAAAAGTGAGATCTTTTTCATCATAGTTAAAGTGCACATTTTCACACTTCGCATTTTATTCAGATTCGGGAAACAAATAATAAAATTTCACGTTAAAATTGCTCATTACAGCTAGTGGGGATGTTAATTCGAGCACGAAAATACAAGCTTTTGGATTTCGAAGGCGAGATGCTGTACCAGCGACAGGATGACGATAAGATCATACGGTTGCTGAAGCCGATTGAAGAAATTCGCAAAATTTCGTTTTCTGGTGACCCGGTGAATTGTATGGCAGTGGCCGAAGGAGCAAAATGATACATCTGTTTTGAAAGTGTCCTGTACACATTTTGACGTGTTGTTCACTTTGAGGTCGGGTGTTACTTACGTGTATGATGCACGCCAATGGGAGTGCACCTGTGTACAGTTTTAATAAAATCTCTTTTCAAAATAAAGTTTTTCGTAAAAAAAATTATGTTGGCTGCTTCTTCAAAGACTTAAAATTGTGCTGCTGTTTGTGTTTTTGCGAGAACTGATAAACAAAGAAACGCGTAAACACACATGTGCAGACGCGCAAACACACGGCCACATAGACACATATACCATTACATAGGTGTGCACGTAGACAGACCACACGCACCACTACACAGATGCGAACGCAGGCACACACAAACAGGCAGCCTTACGACAGTATGCGTTTTTGCACTGCATCAAATATGCGACGTCAAGTGCGACTTTATTGGGTTTTTGAAATAAATCGCAAAAATTTGAATTTTTTTTCTTGCATGAAATTTGCATAAAAAGGAATCGAGGCTTATTTATAAAGTCCAAAAACGAGCATCATATCGATGTTTTAACTTGAGTTTGGTCAAACGACGGTCTGCTTTCTGAGCTTCTTTGCAACGGTTCAATCTGCTCATCCACTACGATATAGCGCCACTCTTCAGTCAGTCGGTTAATTGCAATTCAGTCGAATTGATTGAAAACTTTGCTTTATGAATGTCGAAACGTTACGTCGTTAAGGAAGCGATTAACAGTCAAATTCACATTTCACAAAGTATGTGTCATTGGTGTAAAAACGAGTTTCATGCCAAAGAGGTGGTAGCTTGGCTCTTCATCCGAGTTTTTGTCCAAAAAACAAGCAAAAATACGTTTGCGGCCCTGTCTTATAGAAAAGGGAGGCGAGGTTTAAGCAAATACAGTGGAATTGGTGATCGTAGCTTGGGAAAACTGACGCCTACTATCCGGTACATCAAGCTGAAGAAATCCTTATATGATAAATGATTTTAGATCACAACTGGGTAAAAACGAGCCGACTCGTGATTGATTTATAAATAGCTAATTTGTGGGTTGAAAGAAAAAAAGCTGTTTCATTACAGGAAGCGCGAACTCCATTGATACTAAGGTAGCAAATTGACTAATGGCAAGTGACCGCAGCTTTTACGATCTTTCATTGGGTACGTAATCTTTTGCAGCTGCTCATTAAAAGAAAAGTTTAAATTAAATCTGTGTTAGAAAACATCAGCCTTGCCGATGCAAGCATGAGTTTTTGCCAGTTTTCGTAACTGCTTGTAGCTAAGTAGCACCGGTCTCTAGCTGCTGAGTTACGTCGAATTTAGCGAAAAAAACAACACTGACAAAAACAGATGAGTGTTGCCGAAATATTTGGGTGGCGTAAAAATAATAATCTCGGCCAGACTTAATGGATGGTTTCAGGAGCTAACGAAGCTTCCATGAAAGTGACGAAAAAACAAAAAATCAGAATTTTTTGATTTATCCGGCCATAGATTGCAAATTTTTAAAGTTTCTGCGCCAAATTTCAGGACCATTAAGATCG